CGAAAGGAATCGATTGAGCTCACAAAACACGCATGTGAAATTTTGATTTTTGGTCGAAATTTTTCCAAGGGTTGGGGTCGATTTTTTGAAAAAATAAAAATTTTCTCAAAATGTCTTAAATTTTGCATCATTTTAAGCTCACGGAAGCGACGAATGCATCGAACTCATTGAAAAACATGGTAGAAGTTTCAGATCCGAAATAATAGACATTTTCGGCACAGTTTAAGCGTTTTTTGATCATTCACGATCTTTATCCGACGATTTCTTCCTTATTATTGACCCAAACACTTTATAAATTTATATTTCTGACCTTCTAACGTCCAAAGGAATCGATTGAGCACAAAAAACACGCATGTGAAATTTTGATTTTTGGTCGCAATTTTTCCAAGGGTGGAGGTCGATTTTTTGGAAAAATTAAAATTTTCTCAAAATGTCTTAAATTTTGCATCATTTTAAGCTCACGGAAGCGAGGAATGCATCGAACCCATTGAAAAAGAACGTAGAAGTTTCAGATCCGAAATAATAGACATTTTCGGCACATTTTAAGCGATTTTTTAGCAAGAAGAACAGCAGAAAGAAAAGCCAGAATTGATTATCATTAACTGATTTCCACTTAAATCTTGCATATTATTTTGGCTCTCCAAAATCCACTGTAAATTATATTCAGCAAGAAAACTCCCTGGAGAATGTTGAACAAAAATAAACTGCCATCAAGAGCGGACGACAAGAAGAAGCCACTCGGTGGAAACGCTTTTCCAGAAACTTGAAATGCATCCAGTTAGTTACAGGGGCGTTCTGGGTAATAAGACAGATGGACTGGGCTATTTTCGGACTGCCGATGGAAAAAAGCGAGATCTTGACACATTATGAGTAAAGCGAAATCTCAAAACGTGCGAATTAAAAAGAGCTTCTTTCAATGCTAGTTTCCTGCTACTTTCAGCAAACTTTCGAAAGCAGCGACTGGATGCCTGCCGCCTTTGTAGCGATCGATGACTGCGCACTGGATTACAGAACGGGCGTGGTCCCATTCCGGGATATATTTGCATACATCCCGAGGGTTGTTCAGCGCCTTTTTACCCTCTAGAACCATTCTGATTGTTAACGTTTGTTTTTTTATATTTTAGATATTACGAGGACGAGCCAGCACATTCTTAATTGAATATCTTAAGGGAATATTCCTCGTTGAACGAAAAGCTAAAAAACTAATTGCCAATTAGATGGCATTACGGCCAGCAAACTGCTTGAAGCATTTAAAGTTCAAGTGAAAAATTGTCACGAATTTCCCTGGGAATTTCTTAATTAACTCGCCGACCTGTTTAAATTAATTTATGCGCCCGCCGTGGCCCATATGGCCAGCTTCTATAAAACAAATACTATTCTAATTAAATATAAGCAACAGTTTAATGGAATTAAACGATTCAATCAGATTAGAGCGGCAGCGTTAAGCCAGATGTGATGGCCAGAGCACGAAAACATCTGGTTTCGTAGGTACTGCAGATTTTTCAAGTTAAACAACCAAAATTGCATAATTTCGAAACAAAAACTGAAAAATTTACTTGTGGAAGATTTTTCGAAGCCTTGGCAAGGGAGAACAAGACTCAAGCTTATAAGGAGATCAGTCCTTAAGCATACATTAAAATGAGCAAACAGAGCTGTTTATTCTGCACATCCAGGCAAAGCAGATAAGGATGTGTGCTTCCCTTGAGGAAAGTTATCTTATTTTCCTTAACCAGAACATGCCCTATGAATCTATATGAGAACTTTATACTTAAGTACCTATAAGCAATTGATAAACCAATTAATTAACCCACTGTTAATGACCAGACATTTCCATAATCTACGTGATGTTTAGTGATTCAAATACACATTTTTTCCTTTCAATTTCCTGTTGTTTATTTATAGAATCCTGATAATAAAGACCGAAACAGGCGCTTTGCACTATTGAACAATTGAATTCGAGGAATTATTTTGAGAAGAGCCTGAGGCATGGGAGTAAGAAAGGCGTGAAGAAGTAATTATAGAAAATAATTGATATAAGAGAATGTTTGCTTAGAATATAAGCGGTTAATGCCCATTAATATCAATTGCTGTGTCAAGCAGTAGGAAGGGCATTGATTGAAACAAGGCTTTTATAGAGCTTTTCCAGCCACTCAAAGGAAATAATGTAGTGGTTAATGACACACTTTGGGGCCCAATGTTGGTTGCATTACAAACTTGGGCTTTAACCCCCTGTAAGGGCTAACTAAGCAGGGTGACTTGACATTGAAAAGTACTGTTAAATTCGGGTTTTTTTATATGTCTAAATACTCGGGAATTAATTGATAAAACCCATTGAAATCAGCCGATAAAAATCCCTCAGCCAAACCTTGTTGCTCAAAGTCAACAGCATTATCACACTATTATCACCATGAGTACATTGTGTGTTTATTTTGTAAACGGCCCTTCAGCTTGCTAAAGCAATTATAACAATTATAAAGGAAAATAACACTTTTAAAGTGATAAGTCCGCTATCAAGTGCGAAACCAGGAAACGAGGAGATAGCAGCCCTTACAATCTTGTTTCACTGGAACAGAACATGAATCACTGGCAAGTTTTCCAGCTCTAAGCGTCAGTTCTGGGCCAAAGTAAATGAAAAACTGTCCAAAAAATTACGGAACCGTCCAGTCCTAACAGTAGATCGAGCAGGAATAACAAACACGCATTTTTTACCTTGAAAATCAGGGAAAAATCCAAACAATGCCGAGAAAAAAACACAAATACACCCACTCCGTACAACGATCGAGGTAAACTAGAATTTTGACAAGCAAACTTTAAAGATGGCGCGGTTTGAATGACATAAAGTCAATAATTGCATTGTATAGGCAATTTCGCGTGCACCTGACCACGTTCTTGAATTCACGCGTTCTAATTGATTAATCTACTATTTTAAACCTACAGGACAATTGGAAAGACGAAAAGCACTTTCGGTTACGTCAACCTCTTAATACTTTCATCTCCATAAAAAAGAATCAAGCAATCAAAGTCCTAAAATTCGCTTAATTCAACCAAAACATCTTTTCTGTGTTTTTACTGCATCCATTAGTTGCAAACAGCCCAACTCACATTACCAGCCTTTGCGCCTTTCATTAACCGCCTTAAATTAACATCCCCTAACCTCTAAAATCCTATTAATAATTGGTAACGTAGCTGACCTTGAAAACGCCCCTGAGAACTATGTACAAATCCAGACAGATGTTATGCAGCACTACAATGCAAAAGAAAAGGACAGACTACAGATGTCTGATGCAACGGCATTCGTTCCGCTTACGCTATTGGTTGATCGAAATAATGATACCCAATAGTTCCATGTTGACAGACCTATTGACAAATATGTCATTAGAACGTATGCCCGAGGAAAACTGGTTGGTTGGGTGAGTTTTTCATCAAAAGTAGTGTAAAGGAAATGGTGAAAATGGTGTGATTTGAGTGAAATGTGCGACTTATCATTTGCGAAATCGAGTTCGGCTGGGGAATTATTGAATCGTGTCGAAATGACCTTTGAAAGCGGCGCTCAAGAGCCCTCAACATTGAAAAGGACCTTTACTTTGCCCAGGAACCCCTTTAATGCCTCCAGAATGTCGAAAAAGTGGACGAGAACGAACGAAAACGAATCCGATATTGCTAGAGATATAAAAATCGTGAATGGGGACAGCGAGAAGAATAATAAGAAAGTTTTTCGGTGAGTAACCTTGTTGATCAGGTGCAATGGGATAAACAAGCACCTACTGTTCAAACTATCGTTATTTGCGGGTTCTAAACCAACTACCAGACCTTTGGTCGGGTGTGTTCCGATCAATCTCTGGCCAATAATCAGAGACAACCAAAACTACCTAGCCGAAACGTTAATGAAGTGATTTCCTTACAGCCGCCCCTCAATCAAGAAAATTATCAGCAAAATCGCCCAGCATATCAGTGGAGTGCCAGGCATCAATCAGAGCCTGGACACCAACCGAGTTCCCCCGGTAGACTTCCAAACTTGGGGCCCAGAAGACACACCTGGAGTCACTGGGCTGAAAAACCAGGGCAATACGTGTTTTATTAATGCAGTGCTCCAATGCATTTCCCATACGGATATTCTGGCAGAGTATTTTGTGCTGGACAAGTATAAACTGGACTTGGCAAGAAGGAACAAGCTGAATTCAAAAAAATTCGGCACTAAAGGCGAAGTGACCGAACAGCTAGCAAAGATTCTAAAAGCGCTGTGGGCCTGCCAGTATTGCCCCGAATTGAGCACCAGTTTCAAGCAAGTTCTAGAGAAGCATGGCTCGCAATATAAGGGCAACCAGCAGCATGATGCTCAAGAATTCCTGCTGTGGCTTTTGGACAAAGTGCATGAAGATCTGAATACAGCCTCTAAGAAGAAATATAAGAATATCAAGGTAAGTGTCTGGAGCTAACTGGAGAGACTAAATGCAGCTTGGTAATAATAGTAATTGATTGAGGATAGCGCCAATTATCTAATCTCCTTATTTATCTTTGCTCTTATCTAATTAAATTGATGATTAACATTTAATGCAGTCATTTTGCTTGTGTAGGACATTTTTATTTATTCAAGGCCAGCAGTGGGTTTACGGTATCTGCTGATAGATAACGAAACGCTCAAATTATTAATTTATAAGGCGGTAGCACAACTACATCCCCTAACGTTTATTTTTGGATTTCCCTCAAACTTTGCTTTAAATTATTAATTTTATTTTTTCTGCTCTACTAAGCGCTAACTATTTAATCGTGCTTAAATCGATTCATAATATTATTGAATTTAGATATGGCTAAGTTGTTGCCAAGTAAGTGCATTTATTGGCGTTTAGAGCTGTAAATCAAAGTTCAAATAATCAGATTGGAATTAGGTGTTTGCCTCGGTAATTCTTTAAAATTTGTCATCGGCTTAATTTTGATTTTTTTATCAAAACGCAGGATGTAGCTAATTCTCAAGGAAACACTTTTTTAGAACCACTTTTGTTTCTATGCGCGTTTTCATTTACTTATACCATTCACGAACATTCAACATGAACCATCCACGAATTAATATACGAACCCATACAACTAATTTGTGCAATTTGCATGAAGGTTTTCGGCCAGTCCGAGCTCAAATTGCAATGAATAAGGCGCTGACCATGACTGAAATAGCCAATAACTGTTAACCGATTCATCCCACACCAAGGTACAGTAAGTCCTAGTCAGGAAATAGTTTCTTGTTTACGCAGTTTGTTGATAACTGGAGCGCTACAGAATTTTCCCGCTCCGAAGCGAAAATTGGAGTTTTTATCGTATTTACTGCGAAAATTCATCCACTAAGCAGGAAATTGCTTAGTAGGTATAAAGCCAATTATTCTTGAAAAACAGCGCTACAGGCGAACAATGAAATCTCCATTTAGAACAATAAAAATCAGAATAAAAATTTTGATCATGTACTGCGGATGACCTTGCTCTGGAAACACACTCCACTGACAAGAATTTTCATTTATAAATAAATACACAATGTTGCCGACTTGGATTCTATCAAGAACAACCTCAAGATTCATAAATGAAATCGGTTTATTTTAAAATGTTCAAATCAAAAAAACGTTGAATGTTGTGCCACAGCGGTTTCCCAAATAAATCGCCATCAGACCAATAGCGCAAAGCTTTCGCTACTTAATCATCGGGAAAAATTTGAAACAATATTGGAAATCAGTTTTTGGAGCAGTTTCAATTTATTTAGGTAATTTTCCGCATATCTGAAAAGTACGTGAGTTATTATCGGTTAATGTTTAAATAGATCCGGATATGGAACAAAACAAAGGCAAATACTGATCAGGTCACTCACCTTTAAGCAAACAAATTCACGCTTCATTTTCACCTTTTCCCTGTTCCGAGAAGTCAAGCCTAACTTCTTGCTAAATACTTTCATTCATTGCTCATTTGTGCTCCTTTTCGCGTGGTTTTCTGCGTAATTTTTCATCTAAAAGTTCAGTTTCCGTTGCCATGTAAGTATTTAAGAAACATGCTTCATAGAAGTGAGTTACAATTAAAATGGCCTTAATTTCGAACAGGTTTGCTGCAACAAGTAGTGAATTATACCATTAAAGAAACGGGGTTTGAGCATCTAGTTAATTAACAAGGTTCTGCGCCAGTGTTTCAAAAATGTTTTCTAAATTACACTTATTTGAGTTTCTGAATGGGTGCAAAAGTATTTTATGTTTAACCAAATCCGAGTTTAAAGAATAATTGATTTGAAAAACGCATCTGCCATCTGGGATTTTGCGTGTCCGAGGAAGAATTTAATTAATTGAAAGCAAATATTGCAATGGTAAAAGAAACGGAGTCACAAGTACTTTCTGGTTAACTTCAAGATGTTTGAGGATTTGCCAGAGTTAGTTCTCAATTAACTCCATTACAAGGAGAATAAATGACATTGTCCAAAGATGATTCTGCAAATTGGTGCAAAAAACAATAATTAATCAAGCTAATCATCACATTGCTAGCCTTCAACTCAACGCAAGTAACGTGCGACCTAAAACGTAACTTTTAGACCAACAGTGAAGTGGACTATTTCAATTATATCCTAATTTGCTTCGAACTCAACTATGTTTGCGAAGTGACACTGAACCGCTAATTCTGAGCTATAGTTGAAAAAACGCCTATGTGAGCTTTATTATTGGATGTTGTGCGCTTCATCGCTAGTTTTTTCCGGTTAAATGTCGCGCTATTAATGAAATTATCAGATGATCAATTGATGGGCAACGAATATAAACCGCCTTAAAATGAGATTTTTTGTGAAATTCTGCCATTGTTGGAGCCGTGAAAACAGCGGCCCTGAAACGGATGTTAATTTTACGAGATGCTTATCGCTTTAAATCATTGTGAAAATGAAACTTTTCCTTTCGTTGTGGACTTTGATCGGCATTTATATCTTCAGTCTCACTCTTGTTTGTCTGTTGTTCCAAATACCGATCAATCAATAGTTTGATTAACCAATTATTGGCTAAATGGGTTTATACCAGTTCACATCTTGTGTAAAAACTAGAGAGATTTCAAACCATTTCCATCTTGAGCATATTTTTGTATCGCATTCCGATCTGATGATTAATCAAACAAACATCAATCGAGTGGAAATTTCTAATTGCTGGGCGCTTATAAGGAAAATGTGGCGGCGTTCAGAAGGAAATTGCCACGCCAAATGCGATTTTCCAATGTGCGACTGGGCAAATTTGGGAATTCATTTTTGGGAGAAGTTTCCCAATTTTGTTCTGTGGGGGAATTTTGCAAGCTCTGATTTTTGAGTGGAAACATATTCGCATTAATTTTCACAAACACCTCGCGATCGTTCCTAATTGCTCCAATGATTGCAACATAAACAACATTCTTCGGTCGATGCGGTTGTTGTATGTTGAGCCGTAACATACAAGTTGAACCACACTGTTGATAATGTATAATGAGTTTCTAATAAAAGTGTAATAACATGTGTATATTATGGTAATCAGTTGCTGAGTAGCCGATGTCCATTTATAGAGGAAAATCCGTTATTCCTTATGTGCAGGCGTTTTAATGAGCTGCTCATTATGTGATGAAGCAATGATTAGATACTTGCGTTTTGAGACCCCTGTTATGCATCAGTAGCTGATTAAAATTAGTAATCAGATTCATTCAATTAGTACCCAAATAAACATGAACAAACACATCTAAACATAAAAATGTTACATAGAGCAAACTTCCCTCGCATGTTCATTGCCTATGCCCAACTTTCGGCTGGACACGCAGTAGAATTTATTGGCCAGTGTCACAATAAGTTGTGCAAACTAAAAATACTCTAAAAAAATTCTAATGACCGAGCTGAAATAGACCGATGTTGTGGCGCAAAGTCAATGCCATTACCATTGCAATAGAGGAAAATTTTAAATAAACTATTTGTCTGGAAACTGCAGCCATTAATGTTATGGACCCAACTGGGGGAAAACCGCTGTTTACTGACTCTCAATCTCAATTTCTCTTCTGTAACTATAGATTCATATTGTTTTCCAGACCTCTGGTCGGCCTGATGAAGTAATAGCGGCAGAAACGTTGGAGAACTATAGAAGATGCAACAACTCGTTCATCCAGAGCATCTTCCAGGCCCAGTATCGGTCGTCTTTGAGTTGCTCCCGATGTCGCACGCAGTCGAACACTTTCGACCCATTTCAATGCATTTCGGTCCAATTGCCGCAGTTTCACAAGCAAAGCATTTACGTTACTGTAAGTCCCATCCTAAACAGTTCAGCTGAAAGTTAAAATTGTTCCATTTGCAGGTGGTTTACACGTCGCAACAACCCCGCCAGGTTCAGATCGGCCTAAATTTGCCCTCAGGAGCCTCCATCAACGAGCTGCGAGCCATCCTCGAATCGGACACGTCCATCGAAAAGAGCAACATGTTGCTTACGGAGATTGGCGACGCTGGATTTATGCGCACTTTTAACGATGCCCAGTGTGTCAGCATTATATCGGAAATTGATCCCGTTTACTGTGTGGAAACTGCCCAGTTAAAAGACTCTGAAGGCAGCGCAACCAGCCCCTACATCCTGCTTTGTTGGATCAACATTGTTAAGGGGAATCCAGGATATTTGCGGAAGTTTGGTGAGCTCCAATCCTTTTTTAAACCCGGTCGTCATTAACTTTGGGGGTATTTCTATGGCAGGAAGTCCCTATACTATGCAGGTATCGCGCGAAACCAACTACGACGATCTGCAGAAGCTGGTTTTAAAGGAAATGGCCCCGATTCTCCATGATGACATTCTGATTTCCTCACAACCGAAAGGAGTAAGACACTCGCCATCTCCATTAACGGCAGGCGGCAAATCACGTTCGGTTTGTTTGCTTCAGATATTCAAAATGCGCATCTCGGATCCGGCATGGAACGAAAGTGAGCCGCCCTGTTATCTCGAGCCGCAGCTGGAGCATCCGCTCTTCATGGAAGCGATCGATCAAGCCCTGGCTCTGTGTAGCGAAGACGGGGGACCGCCTCATGTGAAACTGGTGATGGAATGGACGGAAAGCAGCAAAAAGTCCATTATAGCAGAAGACGGCGATCTTATCGAGGAACATTCGACGGTGAAGCTGCTAAGGGCGCAAGCCCTGCAAGGTAACGCTGCAAGAAAGCAAGTGTCCTAAACTTAGCCTAATAGTTGTGAAAAAAGGTGGGGCCCCGTTGACTTTGGAAGAGTGTTTGCGCGATTACACTGAAGCTGAAACGTTGAGTGATGCATGGAGGTGTCCGCATTGCCAGCAGTACCAGCCGGTGGTGAAAACCCTGGATGTGTGGTCTCTTCCCGACATTCTCATAGTGCACTTTAAAAGATTCAGACAGTAAGAGCGTTTGCTTTTGGGAAGGTCCATTGCAATTAATAGCCATGTGCATTTCAGGCACAGCATACGAGGCGGGAATTCAACCAAACTAACCACCATGGTGGACTTTCCGGTCTACGGGTTCGACATGTCTCCTCATTTGGCCACTAAGCGCCAGCCTCCCAATATGGCCTCAAATAACATGGCTGATAGTGATCTGATCAATGGATGGTCTCCTTGGAAAAGGTCGCGGAAGCCCTCCACATGCAATGAAAACGTCTACGATCTCTACGCCATTTGTTACCATCATGGCACTGATTTAGAAACAGGACACTATACCGCAGCCTGCAAGAACCCCTACGATCTTAATTGGTACTTGTACGACGATGCCAAAGTGAAGAACCTGAGCAAAGATGCCGACGACTTATCACCAGTATTAGTGAATAACAGTGCCTATATTTTGTTTTATCAGCGGCGCAGCATGGGGATTAGCTCGAACAGTTCAGCCGCCAGTACCAGTTCAGTTGGTTCTGGCAGTGATCACTGGGTATGTCGCATGCCCAAATTTGTGCCTCCCAAGTTTGCGAAACAGCCTGAAAAGGTAAGGTAGTGATTTATTGGGGGGTACCAAGTTTCGATGTTTGTCGTACTTTGTTCAGGTTGAAAAAACCGTGTCAATTAAGGACGACTTGAAAGCCATCGAGAAGGACAGCGAACTAACTGGGAACAAAACCGACGAAATTGTCGCCCTGCGGAACAGCCAGAACACCTTGTATAGTAGCCGGAAGTCGCTGGAAATTAAAGTGACCGAGCCGTTGCGGAACTCGCCCACGTTAAGCCTCAACTTGAATAGGTCTGCAGTTTTTCCCCAAAAAACCATTGTCAATCAACAACCTCTGTTCTTTTCCCCAGATCGTCCTCGGAAATATCCACGAAGAAGCCGATATTTACAACCAGCGTGTACATTAATTCGCCTGGTAGCGACGATGTTTCGGATTCTCCTAAAAAACTGGAGAGCATTAAAGTGATTCTTAGGGAACCCACTAGGGAAAGTGGCACGGTTAATGTGACCAACGACATTGAAAAACCCGATGTTTATACCACTACGGCCTCGATACAGAGACACTCGGATATCGAAAAGGGCGCCTCGAAGACCCATCTGAACTGGGTAAGATCAAGCTTTCTATTCGATAACTCTTGATAAAACGATGGTTTTTGTTCCAGATGTCTCCACAACCAATCAAAAAATCTGCCTCAACTCAAGAACACCACACCGTTTTTTCTGTATGAGTGGTGGGGCTAATTAGGTGTATATTTGCGTGTAAATAAAAAAAGTTCTTTACTTGAGCGACACAATAACGGATTTTGTGGCTCACTACCACGTACAATTGGCAACCACAAACCTCCGACTACGGCGAAAAGAACTACAAGTTCAGAGTGAAAACCACCGGTTTGGGTACTTTTCAACGTATTAAGGTTAATACTGAATTATGCAGGTATTACTTGTGATTTGGGACAGCTCTTTTTTTGAGTATGTTTGGTAAGCAAACAGTTTTTGTTTAATGATATTTTATGACAGCGTTTTGATTATTATAACCATTATTTCTTGTTTTGGAATAATTATTTTTTTGTCGATATTTTATGTTGTTATGGAGTCTCATTTGGAACAGGATTTTGAGCACGTAAGGCTCGAAAATGTTGCACTTTATGTACTGTCCAAGTAGTGACTTTCCTGTTTAGTATTGTAGCTTGCATATGTAACTATACATTTAATAGTTGAATGAGTCAAACACGGATATGCCAGCTGCAAAACTACCATTTGAAATTGATTTACTCCAAGTTAAACGTTTGAAAAGTGATATTATGACATAAATAGATTTTATTTTTATTATAATGAGTTCATTCTATCGTTTTGACGACACTTATTCATTCGTTTTATGTGTTACAGTATATATTTAGTGCACGGGATTTAATTTCATTATCTGATTCATTACAGGGTGTCTCCAAACAGTTGGAGACTTAGCTTTGTACAGAAAAAGTGCACCAATTTGATACTATTCGGCTTTTCAGGTCGTATCGAACTAGGATTAGAAATTGCAATTTGATGATTGTAAATAATTGAACCGAATTTTTGGGTGTAAGTAGTTTTAAGTACTAATGATAGTAAGATTTAGTGCCTAAAGTTCGGCTGATCGAAAGGAAATTTTGAATGACTTCAAAGTATTTCCATTAGCCGATTCAATTTTTGTCCTTTTATTAAGAAAGTTATAAATTACAACGAGCAGCGATTTTTACATAAAATAATACTTTGAACAGTTGCCAGTGCGCTAGTTTTTTGTCCTTCATCAATCCATTCTACTGGTAAAATACGATGCAGCTAATCGTATTAATTTGTAAAATCCCGTATTTTATACGCCTTTGTACTCTTATTATTATTGTAACATGTAAAACTGGTGCCTTAAATTTAATATTTATTGATTATTGTTCTGTTACACCGTCAAATAAAGAAATATGTGTATGTGGTTGTTTCAGTGAATATTGCTATCCAAATGCTCCGCATTTGTTTTTGACCTACCTAGATCTTGTTACAAATGGCAGAATTTTGCATATCATTACTGTATTATTTATCTAAATATGTAACATCATTGTTGCGGCACTTCCAACGCCTTTTGGCGAAACGCTCATTAAAGGTGGACTTTGTCGACCCATGACTAATGTGAAGGTAARATTTGTTCGAAAAAACTGCCCATCGGAAAGGTTATTGCAGGATCACCGACAAGTAMATATTGTATACAGGATGATTAAAAAAATYATRGGTCATTTATAGGTGAAAATTGAATTTGAATGATTTTTGCGTCTTCTTCAGCACTTTTATTCAAAAKAACGCTCCTGAAATCGCATCAGAACRAACATGAATCTTTGGCGTATTTTGCAGGATTTCCAAGAGGATTCGTCGGATTTTGACTGCTTGACTGTTGCACATTGRTAGTGCAAAAACTATRTTCTCATGTAATAAACAAGGATCAGTATTGACACCACAGTGTGATTATGAGCATGTTTTGATATGCAAATGTTTCCATTATGTTTCAAGTGTGAAACTACAAAGCACTATTGAGATAAGGATTACATATTACGATTTAATTCAGATTATTGAAATTTGACCTAAATAGTTTCGATTTAAATGGACCGTTTGAATGTTATTGTCTGCCCACTAGAGCAAGATTTGATCAAAAGGATGCTTAATTAATTTATCGCAGTGCTACAGGCAAGAAAGCGCGCATAAATGGACAATTTAGTAAAAGTGTTAAACACGAAAGAGATTATATGGCCACGTAATGACAAATCATTGCGAATACTTTGTCAAGGAATTACTGTAATTGACCCAATTATCGGAAACTAACAACAAGGTCTCGTCAAGAACTTATTAAACCGGATGATGGGATTTTCGCAACAATAATGGGGGTGGTCTAGCAAATTTAGCCAGCTTATCAAGGCTGCAGTAAAAAATATTGTTCAAGTGGCAGCTATCGGTGTAGATTTAATCAAATAAATGGCACAAAACAATACCAATTACTCTGAGAAACCATATGCTGAGAGCAACAGCTTCTGCAACGTAAGCAGCGCATTTATAACAAACTTTACTTCGCCAGCGGAAGCTCAAAAATGCCTCAAAAAAACCTTTTTTATAAAAAAATACTGATAATGAGCAATTGATAAATTGCACAATTTGGCTACGCCCATAGTAAATCGGACAATTGATTTGCACAATTCTAATTTATGCTCGTTGTTGATCTAATTAAACAGCCGAACATAATTTAAGTAATTTAGAACACCTATCGGCGCAGCTTTTGTGCAATCGCCGTTTTTTAAATGGTTGTTTCGGGTTAATTGGTTTTTCCTAATCATTGTCGCATTTGGGTCAATTTATAACGCCAGGGTGTCGGTTTGTTTGGGAAGGTTTAGAGCTTTTACTTAAGAGCGTGATAAATATAACACTAAAATCGAGAACTGATCARCAATTTATTGGAAAATTCCATAGCCAATTCTGTTCTGTTGCCTWTGAAAGAGAAAATTGATCATTTTTATRTCGCAATTGGCTTCTATTCTGCTGTTGGARTAATTCCGACTTTCAGGATTCAATTTCTTCCGGTTTTCTTCTCAACCAAATTTAACTGGATATTTTTCAGCCAATACAAATTATTCGCAATTTATCCGCCCAAAACAACGTTTAAAAGAGCACAAAAGGTACTCGCTAGTCTCAAAAAGTCCCGAAAACATCCAGTTTTTGTCACATATTGAACCTCTAGGAATCAAACTAGTTCGCCTCCCATAAAATCCGCATATGGCTGACATTTAAAATGTACCAATTACAAGGAATTTGCCGTTCAGCAATTGAACAAAATGTGAATATTTTATAAAATACCTCAAAAAATCGCGTAAAAACCAATCACTTAGATTGCGCAACAAAATTATTACCATTTCGTAATCGGTAGATACGTTAAACTTTACAATCGGGTTGAAAAATACCCTGACAACTATTGAGCCCATTTATATCAATTCAAGCCGGATACATTCGGCATATTGCAGCCATTACGCACACAAATGGATCGACCATTAGGAAAAATCGTTTTCGGTGAAAAAGGCGAGGAAATTGATCACGCGGTTGGCAAATGAGATCACTTTTACTTTGCATTTGCATGCCCAAGGAAGAGAACTTGTTAATTGGATCTTTTCCGATCGTTCTACACATGGATTGATTGTAGCAGGAACAATACGAACAGGAATTTGAGCAGAAAAACCTAAGCTTGCAGCTGTAAAATGTTTTTAATTCATACACAATCGATGTTAATTACACACATTTGAGTAACAAAATTTTTATATTAAGATCCATGTTTAGGAGGCTGGCAACACTCAGGATTATGCACGATTTCTATGAAACTTTTTGCATCTTCAGAAGCAAATGACTTTTGAACAAAGCTCTCAAAACAGAAATTTTGGTACCCACCATTGCAAAAGTGGACACAAAATCGCAAATATTTGCGATTTTCATGAAACTTTTGCCATCTTTAGATCCAAGTGTTTTCCCTAAATGGTGCGAACTTCACATCCCCACTTGCTTTAGTTTGGAAGAAGCAAACATCTAAAGAAGAGCGGATTTGTGTAGAAACATCCGTTTAGAGACTCAAGTTTAAGAAGCTGGTTCAAATCACATTTATGGACGATTTCTGTGAAACTTTCCGCATCTTCAGATTCATATATGGTCTGTAGACAGTGTGAGTTTCAAAAAAACGAATTATTGAATGGGAGCGCGCATTTGAGTAAACTTTTAGCCCCATTTAGGAAGCTGGCAAAAATCAGGATTTTTGACGATTTTTATTCAACTTTCGGCATCCGAATATTCAAGTGTTTGCTAAACAGAATTTTCAAAGAAGAGCGCACAGTTAAGCTACAAAAACCTGTACTGGCACCATTAGTCTAAAAAAGTCATTGAATAAATGAATATTTCAAGTAGTTTGGGAACATTTAAAATTGCAGTTGAAAAAATGGTGTTCGTAAAAGCAGGTGCTTTGATCAATACAGAGGACAAAATGTTGTCCATTTATTGCCGAAAATCTGCGGTTAATTATGCAGAAATTCGCCCATTGATTTCGCGGTCCAGTTCTTGCAGATCGGAATTTTGGGCATGGTCCCTGCATGGGTTCTTTCCTAACATCGATTACGCAATAGGCGGTTCCTGCGATGTTACATATTACACCCAGTACATATCAGGCCGCTTTTCAATTTCTACCAGCGTGGGTTTATCAGTCAGACACATAAGAAACACCATCAAGACTCGTTTTTTACTTCCCTGAATCACGTCTGACCTACTCAGAAATTCGATAATTGCATTTTCGGCTTAATTTTTGCCAATTTCTCTTTCGATTTGCCTTAATGTTTGTTTTTTTGGCTCCTAAGTACTAAACATTTTATAAAAACAAATGCACATTTACAACTGAACACAGGCGAGTGGCGCAACCTAATCTCAACAAAGCAAGAGATCTGAATCAGATCAGTTTCGAGGAACCAAATAAGTACCAATTTATTGTTGACTGCTGATAAAATGCGTTACAATTGCTGGCCGATTTGGGTCACGACCAATTGCAGTAAGTCTTATTTACTGTTGCTTTTTCGATAATTGCAAGAAGATCACCTTAATATTCACTGAAGCGCTTGCAAGGTATGAGGCAACCTTTTTCGCTCACACTGATAACCATTCGCATAATTAAAAACCCTAAACTGCCCGAGATTTTTCAATTTTTTTTTATTGAAGAAGAATATACAGGGTGTTTTTTTTGTAAAAAACAGGCATGATACCGAACAGTTATGTGAAACAAATCCTTGATTACACTTCGTCTAATAAAAAATTCCAGGGTCTTCTTTTGTGGAATCAAATCTACTTTAATACTATTCAATTATTGTATAGAATTCACCGCCTCCAAGGAACAATGCGGTTCCATTGTTCTTCTTCTGCGAGATACGCCCCAAGAAACCTTTGCAGGAATCAGAATTTGCAAATCAAATACGCCACATCCTTCATACTTCCACTTGGGCTTCTGTTAATAAATTTTCTGGTAATTCCCCAGTATGATATAAAGTCGTTAAAACATTATCGCTGACATAACTAGGTGATCTAAGAAGCGGACACCACGTTACGAAACGTGGTTCTACTAAATTATCTTGAACTAGATTCGATCTTAAACAATTTCTTGCTAAGGCAAACACACCAAACCTAAAAGCTCCTTAATGGAAAAAAATCGTGGGCGGATACACCTTTTGCAGATTTTATTGATACGAGAACTGATCTAGTTCGAGGCTTGATGATGGAAGTTGGCAAATTGGTTGTTATTAGTTCGTGATCTGTTGCAGTTTTATTTCACCTCTATCACTGCTGGTTGAGAAATCCACTTTCGCATTGAAACTAGAGCTTCTCATCGGTTTACAAATGTAAACGCTTTATCCAAATTTCACAAAAAACTTGCGAAACTATTGGTCTCACACCTTTAAAGGATGCACAGAATTACAATGTTTTGAAGAGATTTTGCATCAATAATCGGACGAAATGTTTTTTTGGCTCGTGCGGAATAGTAAATAGGCGAAATAAATTTTCCAATTGTCCAACTACTTTGAATTTTAACGTAAAACTTTCGCAAAACAAATGTTTGTATTTTTTTATACAAAATCTGCAAGTAAAAGAGTCTTAAACCCACGGAAAACTATCCAATTTCAGGTTATTAGTAATTTGATTTTCATCGCTTCAAAATGAATTAGTCTATTCTTTATAGCACTAGTATTGTAAATATTTAAAAAATATTGTGTTTATTCGAGTAAACAGGAAGCAATTTTTCTGCACATGGCAATTTTATATAGTTTTAAGTAAAAACAGATAAAACGTTGGGCAATCCGCCGCAAACAAATCTTGTTCTTAAACCTAATATCTCAAGATTGGGCTCACTGATTTGCATGCAATTTGGAGCGAGTATACTTGACTTAATGTGGAATAAGGGAAAAATATAAGTATTAAAAATAATTTCTGCAGCCGACAAATCCATGAGGAAATAGGGAATTTTGCACTTTTCGCTATAAAGTCGATCATAGCTTCACAGCAAGTGTTTTTTTTGCGCAAACAAAGTTCGTTATGGATTTTAATCTGCTGAGCTCAAATCTATCCAAACAATTGTGATTTATCCGAAAAAATCGATCAAACTGAAAATCGTGATTTTCGGTGGTTAAATGACGATTGTTTAATTTCGTTGTTAAAACCTTATTCGTTAACCAGTATTCATACATAACTTTTATTCCCAATCAAGCAATTATAAGTAAATTCAAAAGAAACTCCTGGGTTCCAGTCAATTTTATTGTTTACCATTTAAAATGTCACAAAAACGTTTCGGTGTTTTTCTCCACCATCATCAGTTTGTCTTCACATTGCCAAATGTTAAGACAAACTGATGATGGTGGAGAAAAACGCCGAAACGTTTTTGTGACATTTTAAATGGTAAACAATAAAATTGACTGGAACCCAGGAGTTTGTTTTGAATTAGGTTGAGATGTAGTTAGAAAAATATACACAATTATAAATAAAACTAATAAACATGAAATTCTCTTTCGGTATAATTGCGGGAAACCCCAGAAAATTACGGAGTTTCTCAGTTTTCTTTCGGTTCTCAGGTACCTTCCGATGAAATGTCGAGGAAATACGGAAAACCCCCGATCGGTTTGTTGTGGTCTTCAGAAATAAACTTCTGAGCCTTGTAAGAGGAAGAACCGGTTTTTTCTGAAGACCACAACAGACCGATCCCCAAGAATTTCCTCTTTTCCAAGTTTCCCTACATTTGAATCAAAACTACCATAGCCAATTGAACAATTTGCATCTGGCCAATTGAAAAATCCATTCTTTCCTAAAGCTTAGACGCAATTGCCTTATCCGAGAAAAATACATGTGTAGAACGACGCAGGTGGTTCATATTTCGCATAACAAGAATGCAAAAGTTGTATAGTAGGAGAGGGGCTGAAACCCTACAACTTTCATATCCTTCGGTACCACCAAGTCCCCCCGAAAATCCCCTAAACCGACAAGGCACCTTCAGAACCACTTTTGATCCAGTTTTCAACGATCTACCGAAAAGCAAACAACTGGTTCTTAAGGACGTTCCCAAACCGTCAATGAACGAAAGTAAGAGTGCATAATAACTCAAGAGTACCAGAGTACCACTTAACTGGCTCGCGACTATACGCACTCAGCTGTGACATAACATTAGGGAACCATTCGACAACCCGGTCAATAACAATGAGTTTTTTGATTTGATTTTCATCGTTTTTTGCTTGCAAAACTGTTGGACATGAAGACGATCAACTATTCGCTGCCAGTTTTGGTGGTTTTAGCGAGTTTGTGCGSGTTCTCGGTTGTGGACTCGCAAAAGGACTGCGGCCTCAAACGACTCAGCACCTCTAAACTGGTTTGCTACTACGGCACTTTGGAGGACGCAAATGRCTGTTTTTGCACTCACGTTATTTTGCCGGCCAATTCGGATGYTAAGCGAATTGAAACGCTGAAGACCAAAGGAGTTAAGGTTTTCATTCGCGTCTCTGATTTCCATCAGGTAAGGAACTTGATTGACYAGAAACTTACGGAAATCGCTATTCCGGAAAGTACAGTTTAAAATGTTTTATTTTTAACTGTTACATCCATGATTTGATGCCCATAAAATACTAATGATTGTCTCCTGGATGTGACTGCAATATTAATTAATAAGGACTCGTTCACGACTGCTGTTTGCCATTTTTTAGC